GGCCGGCCCGACGGCAGGGGGAGCGACCGCCAATGCCGGCGGCGCGGGCGGCAGCCAGCAGAAGAACGGCGCCGGCGCCGGGCTGCGCGTCGGGGCGGCCGCCGACGCGCTCGTGTCTGCCGGCGGCCTGGTCGGGTTTGCCGTCGCGGTTTTGGGCGTGCTTGCCTAAGAGGGAGGGAGGTTTATGGGGGATGAGGGAGATGGGAGTTGCGACGTAGGAGACAGCAGGCAGGAAACCAAGGCCGCAATGCACATGTCACGAGAAGTTGTATGCTAGAAATAGCATGTTACTGTTACGTTACTCCAGCGATAATCCCGTAGAACGGGCAAAGACTGCGCACCCTCCTTCTCAGCTTAACCCTAACGGGTCGACTTCTGTCCCCTGATGAATCTCTCGATCGTCATCAGCGACTCCTGGGTGACCGACGGTCTCGTCCGAGCTAGCGCTTTGCGGAAGTGCGCGTTGCTGATGACCCTGGGTGGCTCCTCCTCTTCCTGCATCTTCCCGTCCTTCTCCTTCCCCTGCTCCCCCTCCCTCTTCCCCTCCACCGCCGCCGCCTCCTCGGCGTCGCGCTGCGCCACCATGGCCGCCTGCACGCACAGCGTGCGCAGGTCGGAGCCCGAGAAGCCGTCGGTCGCGACGGCGAGCTGCTGCAGGTTCACGTCGGCCGCCACCTTCTCGTCGCGCATGTAGATGTCCAGGATGGCGCGGCGGTCGGGCAGGCGCGGCATGGGCACGTGCAGCATGTGCGGCAGGCGGCGGCAGACGGCGTCGTCGAGGTCCGCGGGCCGGTTGGTGGCGATGAGCAAGAAGGGCGCCTGCGCCTTGCGGTCGCCCTGCACGAGCCCGTCCATCTCGGACAGGAACTGGCTCATAGCCTTGCGTGTGTACTCGCGGTCGCCGGACCCGCGCCGCGCCAGCAGCGACTCGGCCTCGTCCATGAAGATGACGCAGGGCGAGATGCGGCGCGCGAGTGAGAAGAGCGCCTGGATTAGCGCCTCGGTCTCGCCGACCCAGCACGACTGCACGTCGGCCGGGGTGGCCACAATCAGGTTCATGCCCGACTTGGCCGCCACCACGCGCGCCAGGTGCGTCTTGCCCGTCCCCGGCGGGCCGAACAGCACCCCACCGTTGATGCCCTCCTTGGCTAACAGCCCGTACGACTTGCGCACCCGGAGCGAGAGCATCTGGTCCAGGCCCGCCATCGTCTCCGGGTCGATGCGGATGCCGTCGGCGGCTGCTGTTGTGGGGTCTGTGAAAGGAGTGTTAGCAAAGCCCAGTGGCAATGGACTCGGCTACTTCTTGCATTTTGGGGATGAGCATAAGACTTACCAATATCTACTACACAGCTCATCAGCACCTTTTCTTTGTCGCTGCAGTCGCCCCTTATCTTGTCCAGAAGCTCCTGGACCTTGGACTTCTTCTTTTTCTCCTTCTTCCCCGCGCCTCCTTCATCCTCGAAAGGCTCGTCGGCCTCGCGCGATGCCTTGAGGGACTGGATGTTGCGCTGAGTGCGCGCCATGATGGCGTACACGTCCTTTGCTTCAAGCGGCGGCGCGCCCGGGCGCCCGGCCCGCGCGCAGACCTGGCGCACGACGGTGGTTATCTCCTTGTTCTTCCACTTGACGAGGATCTGTCGCGCGTCCGCGCTCAGTTGGTCCGGCAGCCGGTGCTTCTCGCCCTGTGCGAGCGTGCCGGGGAACAGGGTATGTGCGACCGCGTCCTGGCCCGCATCCAGGAGAGCGCAGAGAATCGCGCGCCGGATCCATCGCCAGCGCTCGACCAGCTTGGTTTGCTCTTCGCACTGCTTCAGCGCCTCGCTGGCTCGCTTCGTATGCCGCGGCGTGACGTTGAAGGAGGTCGACCACTTGACCCCCAAGCCTTCCCAGACATTCCTAACGTACTGGCCCGTAGCGCTCCACTTGCGAGCCGAAATCACCGTCGCCAATATGAGAATAGGCTCTGGGGCAGTATGGCCTTGTTAGCTTGCCCGATTTGAGTACTATTTTTGTTCGCGGCGGGTCACTTACGTCCTTGCTCTCGCTGAGCGACGACGGCCTCACGGAGGCGCCGGCAAAAAGTCTCTTCCTCTGGCAAGGCTGACGCTTCCTCGAGCAGGATTACAAGAGGCCTCTTTTCCGGGGTTGGCGCCTTCGCCTCGTTGATATTATCGCCTGAGGCCTCCTCGCCTTTCTCTCGAGTCTCTTCAGCCCGGCCCCGGGCCTCCTCGTCCTTGCCTTGTGTCTCATCTCTCACGGGCACAGGCTTTGTCCCTTTAGACTTTTCGACTTCTGCATCGTTATCGACTTCTGCGTCGTTTTCGGCTTCTGCATCGGCAAGGCGGCCTGTTTTTGCCTGGCCTTCCTTTCCGGTCGCGTCCGGCACGGCGTCTGCCACGTTTGTCTGGCTCGGCGCCACCTCCTTCTCGTCGGCGCCGTGAGCCACAGCCAGCTTCCGCTGCACGCTTCCTAGAATGGCCTTGAACGCTGCGGCGCTGACCTCCTCGCCATTGCTGTGGGTGAAGACCGTCTCGACCAGGTTCATCTCCTCGGACTTCCACCGCTGGCCGTCCGCCTCGGCGTTCCAGAGGTCCACGCAGAGGTTCGGGACGTCGTTGTGGTCCAGCCAGACCATGTCGGCGCGCAGGTCCCGCGCGATGCGGCGTGCCATATGCCCGAGGAACTCGAAAGACCCTTGCCGCGGCGATTGGAGGACAACCGCTGCCTCTTTGGCCCAGGCCTCCATCGCCGACTTCGGGGCGGGGGGTGGTGGAGGCTGGAGGATGGGCGAGACCAGGTCTAGGATCTCGTCGTAGACGTCCTGTTCCAGCTCGTAGTCGGCTACGTCCCCGGACTCGTCCATCTTGCCTTTGGCATTTTCGTCCTTGTTCGGGGCTGCCTTCTCTTCGTCCTCGTCTGATTTGAGAAACCGAATTCCCGGGGTGACATCGGGCAAATCTTGAAAGAGAAGAACGTTGCTGGCAAGGAACCAGTCGGGCAGCATTGGAGGGGGTTTTGCCGGCTCTTCATTCTTGTTCTCTTCATTCTTGTTCTCCTCGTTCTTGTTCTCCTCGTTCTTGTTCTCCTCGTTCTTGTTCTCCTCGTTCTTGTTCTCCTCGTTCTTGTTCTCCTCGTTCTTGTTCTCCTCGTTCCTGTTCTCTTCCTCGGTGCTCTCCTGAGTTTCGCCATCGCTTTTTTCACCCTCGCCTTTTGCCTCGTCGACTACCTTCTCAGTTTTTTCGGCGTTTATCTCGTCTGTGGCGCTCTCGCACTTCTCTTCGTTGGCCTCCACAGCCTTCTCGGCAGCCTTGTCCTCGAGCCCGGCCTTCCCTTCCTTGCTGTCGAGAACCGCGTTTGGAGCATCCGCGGGCGCAGGGCCGAGGTTTGAAGACTCATCCACGTCTCCAGAGGCACCTGCAGCGGTGTCCGCGGAGCTCTTCTCGCAGGTCTCAGAGGCCGGCTCAGAGATTGCCAGCTCGGCCTCGCCCTCGATTGGCGTGTTGACTGTTACGGCTGGTCCCTGGTCCGATGTCCCGGTCTTGCTGCTCGACAGGACCTCGGTCCGGGTGCTTGACGCCCCGGCTGCGTCCTTTGCGTCGGCATTGTCGCTAGCTGGTGTGGCCAAGGAGTCATCCTTGGCCGTGTCGATGGGCTCGTCACAGAGGCTGGCGGGCGCGGAGCTGTTGGGCGACGAGTTGCCGGCACTGCTGGACAAGGAGCCGCTGTCCGATCCTGTCGACATGTTTGCGGCGAGAAGGTAGGGACTTGGGGGATTGCGATGTGATGGGATCTGAACACGAAACCGCGTTGGTAGGGGACCCCGATTTCCCGGTACCTGCCTACCTCGGTATATATATCTACCAGCCCTACATCCTGCGAATGAGGTAGCCAGGCGGCCAAGAGACTAGCTGCAGGTTGGCTGTAGGATTTCGAGGCCCCCAACCACAGAGCACAGCCTTGCTGGTAGATGCATAGCGTGTGGATCAACGTGGCTGGCCAAGGAGAGCAGTGGGCATCGCGTCTCTGCCTGGTGTGCCTGGTATGCCTGGGGATAATGGTGCAATCAGATCGATTGAGTGCGTGAAGTGCGGCTCGATTGACTCACAGGTCGGGGGCACTCGCAGCCTGAACAAGGGCGCGCATCATGATTGCTAGTCTGCCCATGCCAGCTCGCGCTGGTTGTTGGTTCATGTTGGTCCGCCATGCCCGCGTTTAGGCACCATCCCCACTAGCCCCGCCTTAGGCAGAGGCCGCCCATGCATTCACCCAGCCCGTTCGCCAGGCTCAACTGCTCGTCCTGTAATCAGCGATCGATTGTGTCGATTTGCTGCCCGGCCTGCAGCCCCACCACTCCGCCAACCCCGACGCGACATGCGTTGGAGATGGTCAGTTACAGCAACCGGAAACCCATGACAGGGTACTCGAATGTGTTGGTGCCATCCCCGCAAGCCTCCCGCTTTTCCTCAAAGCCGATGAGGGATAAGACCGCCCAACCGACGCCCTCATAGATGGGCGAGTCTTGCGGAAAGTTGGAGGATAATGTTGGACAGGACGACAGGCGAGTGGAGAAAGAGGCCGGAATAAAGCGCAACTCACGCACGTTCCATGGTAGCCTCTCGCAACAAGCCAGCGTCATGGCTACCGAAACCTCCCGCTAGACCAACACGAAGTCGCGCTCGGGCGAGTTGCCTCCAACCCCCGGGCCGATGTTGTCCATGCCGTGGCATCGGGCAAGCCCGTGGACATATGCTTCCCCGACCAGGAGGTACTCCCCGGGACGTTCCTTGACGGGCCGCAAGACGACCGGTACATCGCTGCCGTACAGCACGCACACGTGATCCTCGGGTTGGACATGTAGGGGGCCCAGGCCGACATACCCTCGCAGTGTAACGAACATGCGCCGATGGATGAACCTAAGTTCCATCTGCGAAAGAAACCTCCTGGTGTCCTCGGGGACGTGGAGAGACGCATCGCCCTCGACGTCCGGGCCAGAGTATTTTCTTTCCTCCCTCAAAAGCTCATTAATCAACAGTTCCTCCAGCTGCGGAAGGCGTGATGGTGACGGGTGGTCCGGCAGAGGGACCAGCCCGTAGAATATATCTCCATACTCGGCCGGTGCGGGCATCTGCGGGCCCGTATCGTCGTAGTCCCGTATCATGGCCCGCCAGGTGGCGTCCTTCATGTACGCTTGGGTGCCGACAAAACCGGCCCGTTGGCCGCGATTACGCCTTATGTACTGGCACTTGACCTTGCGAACGAAGCGGCGGAGCCCAATTGCTATACCGGCAACCTTGAGTTTGATCTGGGGGAGATTGAAGCTTGACGGCGGGCCTAGCAATTGGGGGAGTTGTTGTCCGCTGCCGCTGATGATATCCACCAGGTAGCCCCTTGCCACCAAGCATATTCCGTCATTTCCATCGACAAATTGTATCTGGGGCGAGAATCGGTAATCAAATCCTTTGTAATCTTTATCGAGTGCCTTCGACGGCCAATGCAAGTCATCGTCAAGGTCCGGGCACCATGAGGGCAGCCCTGCCGTTGACGGCCGAGCCCGGCGGTTCCCCAGCAGAATTGCCAACGACCCCTCGGCCCGGACGCAGTGCGCCACGAGATCCCGGTACAGCTTGGTCATTGTCATCGATCCCCCGTAGTCTGGCTCGATGTCGGCGCGAGTACAAGCATCGCACAACCCCAAGAGAGCGTATATGCGATCCCGCGGGTCTGTGGTCATTCTCCCGTGCGTAGAGTGGAGGAGCGATCGTAGCCTGCAAATTTCTTGGTGCTTATAGCTCTCTGGTTGCTTGGACGTCCATACGGCGTCGATTGTCTCAAGAAATCCAGAATCCGGGGGCTTTCCGCCCCGGGAATAATCCATCATCATGTCTGGGGGCATCTTCAAGAAGAGGCGGAAATAAAAGTCGAGGTCCGAAGCACCCCTCCGGCCGGATGCGCGAGAGGCGACCAAGCACTCCCTTGCGACCGCTAGCTCCTGGATGATCCAGGTCCGAGACCAATAGGCCCTATTCAGGAATCTAACCAGGGGCGGTGCCGACGGCGATGGGGGGCCCCCGAGCTCAAACATGTCGGAGATATGGCGGGGCCGAGGAGCGTCACTAGCCTCTTCTGCTCTCGCGAGAATGCGCATGTGAGCGAAGGCCAGCTCCTCGTCCTGTTCCTCCTCGGGCGGGGCTGCGGCGCCCAGCCAGGCCAGCACGCACTCGGCGCCGCGATAGACGTCGCGCATGAAGGTGACCTGGCTGTTGCGTTCACCGATGTCGCTCTGGTTGATGCACACGGCGTCGACCCAGATCACCGTCTCGGCGTCGGTATGGCAAAGCGTCTGGAGGGCGTCGAGGAGGTTCTCACGGACTGGGAAAGGTTCCCCGTTGACAATGAGGACTTGGCCTTCTGTGTATATCGGCTCGCCCCACGTGTAGGAGAGGGCTTCATAGCGCGGAAGGTCCGAGTCAAGAGAGGCGTAGATGAAGGAGCAGTGAAGGATGAAGTTGTCCAAGTTTGTCGGCGCGATTTTGAGGATGCGTATCTCGCGGCGAGCTTTATCCAGAGGCCTGTAGATTGAGGGAGGGGCAGCCGTAGAACCAGGAGGAAGAGTCGAGAAAGGCACTGAAGAGTCGGCAGCGGACGAAGACATGGTGGAGATTTGATGGTTGATATGTGCTCGTAATGCGAAACTGTCCGGATGTTTAACGCAAACCTGTAGTGAGAGTCAGGGTCCTGGAATTTTTGCACGATGATGGAGAGGCCTTTGGAAGGCGCCGCCCGATGACCGCCTTCGCTGCCCATTCTTGAGCCACAAAGTGCGCTTCAATACCGGGCGGCTGATTGGACGGCGAAAAAGAGCAGCAAAAAAAGGAGGTTTACCCACGTGACAAACTGGGGATCGGACAGGAGGACGGTTCAGGCTGCCACAACACGCAGGCGGTTTCCGGAGCTAGGTGGCCGGCCGTTGGGAAAGCCAGGGACAGCCGATCCGTTGGCGATGCAAATCCACAATCTGCGCCATGGCGATCGGATGGACGGCAATCGGCGCTGGGGGAGACTACCCCACACAGTGAGCCGGCGGCCCGGACACTTCGGCGCCAGGGGTTGTCAGTACCCCACACTAGGCACACCTGTCCGGGGCCGACCGATCAGCGCCTAGGTGGCGCGTGGTGCCTTCCCAGTCCCCCCCACGCTCCCTATCCAGGTGCTTCAGCATCTGCGACAGTCTGGCTGCGACGAGCGCGACCGCGATCACCATCAGCGTTTTGTCGAGTCCCGGCTGGTCGCCAAGCGGAAGCTCTACAAAGCGGCCACGCACAGCGTGATGGCTTTGCCGCTCGCCAAAGACCTGGCAGCCTATATTACCGGCGTGTTCGAAGCGGGATCGTTACTGGGCGAAGGCGTAGAGGCATACTGGCACTCCGGAGTTAGCACAAGCAGCGAGTAACGTCGAGCAGGCGGGCGGACTTCCAGAAGTGGGGATCGAGCAGAAAGCGCGGAAGCGGCTTCACGTGGATCTTTCCACTGTTCCCCCAGAGGAGGTGCAGGTCCATCCGCTCACAAACCACAATCTCCCGTCCGATGGCGAGCTGGGAGAGCAGCGGGCTGGCGGGCGTCTGGCACCTGCGAACCACAAGCTTCCCAGCATCGAGTCCAGCTGTCCGAGAGATAATTCTCCTTGGAAGAATTCTCGTACACCCTCGACAGGCGCCACAGTGTGGCAGCGGGTCACTGCATCGAGCTTTCGGTGGGAAGCTGGCAGTCCATCGCCGACAACACCTGCTTGAGGCTGGAGCACGGCGGTTTGAAACTGGGTGTAATGGGATCAGGTCGGATTCAGGTCAGACCTCGCCGAGAGCCACTTACCATGATTCATGGTGGCTAATGGGCCCGAGGTGCGGGATAATGGTTCGAAAGCTGCGCCACCGACTAGGCCGCCTGCATAAAGGCAGCCATGTGTTGTTGACGGAAGCCACCCCCGAAGCGTATAGCTTGGCCCTCAGGAGGACACTGCGCAAATGGTGGTCGTCGTTGCTATGTGCCCGGAATACTGGCGTTCGCAGCGCCACCTCTGAGCGAGGTTTTCCAGGAGTTAAAGTACGTGTCTGCTGTGGTCGTAAGAGCCCCTAGAGGCGTGAGAATGTGGCTTTGGTCGGCGCTGTGTTTATATTTATATCCGTATGTACCTGTGGCGTGTGAAGCCGGGTTGTCGGGACCTCGCTGCGTGGCACCCGTTGGACAAAATGCAGCCGGGGTCTTTGCTGGCATCAATGGGGAGTGACAGCCCTGCACAGACGCAGACAATCAGGTGTACACAGGGTTCGGAATTTAGTCAAAAGTCATTAGTCAAAGTCATGACTTTTTTAGTCAAGTCAGTCAAAGTCAACGGGATGACTAACTAATGACTGACTTATTTTTTTTTTGACTGACTAAATTGACTTACCAAGTCATTTTAAGTCATTTTTTGCATAAGTTTTACATAATTTCCGTATAACTTTATTATTTTTTAACGTTATTTTGAGATAGAATTTATTTAAAATTAACGTAAAAATATATAAAAAAAATAATAATAAAATAAATAATAATAATAATAAAAATAATAGTAATAAAAACGGTAAAAATAATAATAATTTTTACTTTTTTATTTTTAATTTTATATTTAACTATTTACCTATTTATTTGCCTTTATATTTATTTATATATTTACGTACCTTTTTCCATATTTAAGTATATATTTAATTACTTATTTAATTAATTTTATACGTATATATTTTATTATTTATCCAAATGACTTAAAATGACTGGCCAAGTCACCTAAGTCAAGTCGTTAGTCAGTCACTTCAAGTCAAAGTCACCGCGGTGACTAAATTAGTCAGTCAAAGTCAGAGGGGTGACTTGACTGACTGACTAAATTCCGAACCCTGGGTGTACACTAGGGAGGAAATCCTCGACTACTGGACGGCAGATGGGACAGTCGATCACTAGATGGCATGTGGGACGCTAAGTCAGTGCACCCCCTGTCCGACCACCCCCCCTGTCCGGACATTTTGTAGGGATCCGATTTCCATCCAACCTACTGCATTCAACTGCAAATTTCTACCTTTATTCAAGCAACCTCGATGCAAGACGAAACTGATTCCTGATTAGATTCGTCCGGGCTTTCAGATGCACTATCTCCCTTTTCCAGAACCTCCCCCCTTTTCGCTGCAACCCGGTGTATATCCACAAAGGCCTCGTTGGGATCTGCGGCCACCCTTCTCCTTTTGCGAGGCCGCTGTACTTCCAATTGGGCTTCCAATTGCCTGATTTTTTGCCGGGCCTTAGCCAGATCGTATTCGTGCCCGCTGTAGCTTTTTTGAAGCTTTCTGAAGAATAGCCGTGTTGTAGGGCTTACGGGAAGGCGGGCCCTAATAGTGCTAATCTGGGTGGCCAATTTTTTCGATCGCTTGGGGGTTTCCTATGGCACTTGGAACGTTCGGGATAGGATCGTTAAACGTTTTTTGGCCCTGTTATCCTTTGCAGATTGTTGAATTTGGGCTCGCTGGCTGTCTGGGCCACCATTAAGAACAAAGCGGCTCATGAGGGGTTTGGCTATATTGCGAGGCTACAAGCCGGAAGCCCGCCACCCCGATAAAATTATATGGGGGGTTAGGGCTACGGATCGTGCGTGGTGATAAGCGGTTAAAAACTGGCGCTTTCTTACCATTGTTGAGCAGGTAAATAAGGCTTTAAACCCGATTTCCTTCCGGTATGCCTATTTTAAAGGGCTAAACACGGCAAGGTCGAGAGGCTGCAGCACGTGGGACGTGTGGGCAGGCAAATAAAGTAGGAAAATGTCGTTCCGGAAGCACAAAAGCATAAACTTTGTGGTAACGTGCGATCCGTGCCCATCCAAGATCAAAAGGCGAGGGGCAGGAGGGGAGGGTTGGGTGCGTGGGATAAAGACCTTTTGCAACCATTTTAAGCCCGTGCGATCGTTGGTCCAGCCGTTATCCGTAGCAATAAACTCCCACCCTCGAAAGGGGGCTAGATCTGCAGGAAACCATTGCTTTTGCACGCTTTTTCCCTTGAAAATAATGAGGGGAGGCAGTGATACACCCGTGGCCGAGATGCACTCGATAAAGGAGGTCCAGGTGCGTAACCCAGGGTCCTTACGTTGCAGGGCCCGGGCCCCAGCGAGGCCTAGGACGATCCCGTTGCCGGTCCTTCCCTCTTGCAGGCCACCTTCGTCGGCGTTGTAGGTGTTTTCCGGCTTGATAGCGGCCACCTCCGGGATAAGGAAGCGTTCCCACCATTGCTTTATTATAGCAGTAGTAGCCCCTTGAACCCGTGCAGATTCTATGGCCCTGGACCTTCCGGCCTTGATCTTTGGATACCGGCTTAAAAAGCGCTGTAGCCAGTGCTTCCCGAGGGATAGGGAGGCCCCTTCGTTGCTTATAATATCGTCGGCAAAAAACCGGATCTCTGCATGCGTTGGTGGGAGGCCTAAAGAGTGCTGTAGTAAAATCCAGTTAGCCAGGCGCTTTTCCTGCTCCGGGGCTACACGCTGATACTCCTTTTGTGATTGTTGGATAGGTAGGGCGCCTTTAAGGCGGCCATATAGGGTAGACCTGGGGATGCCATGCATGCGAGCGGCCTTCCGGACCCCCACCCCTCTATGCACAGCAACAACGGCCCGTTCGACGTCTTGTTCTGTATACCGTTTCTCTGGCATCTTGTCGTCAGAATGCAGAAAAAACCAAGGAAAACGGTCCAGAATTGACAGAAATATGAGGGCGGGAGTACTCTAGAAGATTCCATGCTGTGGGGCTACAGAGTGTCCGGACAGGGGGGGTGGTCGGACAGGGGGTGCACTGACTTATGCCAAGCCGAGGTCAACGACCAAGACCCAGTCGGCTACCTGGGGGTGGCTGGTGCTTGCTTCGACACCCTTGCCCAAATGAACGCAGTACGTATCATAAAAGATGCGAATATACTAGGTAACGGAGCTCTGTTGTGCTAGAGGCATCTCTCCGGCGTCGACAAGGACACAATGGCGCCTTACGCAGAGAATGGCACTCGCCTCGATGCATACTGAGCGACGCTGTGCATAAACACAGCCGCAGTTCCGGCCAACGGACAGAATGGAGATTTTTGAACGGCATCGGAAAAGAAGGACGGCGTAGCACATGATATATGGTGGTTCGAGCAGTTGTGCTACTTCAACACGGTCCCAAACAACGCCGACCTGTATCGGACCCAAGTCGCAAACTACTACAGGGGCTGGGTGGAAGCAGCCACGATCGGCCGGGCCGTTTTCATCTCTCAAAAGGGCTATTTCGGGCTGGCGCCGTCGGGAGCACAGGTCGGGCACCGAGTAAATCTCCTCCAGGGAGGCCAGGTGCCGTATATCCTTCAGGAGACTGGAGAAACAGTAGCACTGCCCGGCCGGGGAACCGTGCCGGTCTTTAAATACATCGGGGACTCGTACGTCCACGGGATCATGAATGGCGAAGCGACGGTGGACGTTGAGGAGGGAAGAGCGTCTCTAGAACGTTGGGCATTGCATTAGTTTGGGTTCATTTCCTCCGCGCTTGGTTCGCCCTTTATGTATCCCAGTACATTCTTTTGCCACATTATACCGCATCAGAAAGAGGGCATCGCGGCATGCGTGCAACGCAACACCTGCATACAGGTGTGCTACCTAGTCATGACTCCCAAGTAGTGCCTTTCCTAAGGCATCTATCATGCCAATTCCGCCTGTGCCGCCTGTCGCAAGAACCTCGCCGGTATCGCTGGTGGGCTCGATTTGTCCCTAACCAGGCAGCACCGATTTCGTCCGAGTTTGGATTATAAAGGTATGCCGTCTAGCATTTCTCTAACTCCCCTATCTTCCCCATCCTTCAGGGTTAAAGGTACGTAGGTAGTGTCAGGCGTATACGGTTTGCTGCACACATCAAAAAGGACGCGGCAAAAAAAAAAGAAAGAAAAGAAACATACAACACCGAGGCTCCAGTGGTCACCAACCAGTACTTGGAGATTTTCAGAGCAAATGAGATCCCAGGCTTCCAGAAACGGGAGTTTTCCCCTCCAAAAACGGATGCTTCTACTCCTTTTTGCTCCCAGCCAAGCGTTCCCCTACCGTTTACTGTACCCTACCCTACTTGTATTCCAACCCATATGCATTATTTCTGGATGAGACGAGAAATGTGCTCCTGGCGCTTCTGCTCCCCCAATAGCACGATCCGGATACAACTTTTCGCATTTACAGACCCAAGCCCCAAAACCCATTACCCAAATGGGTCCCCGGCCCAAACGGGTCCTTTGGGTTTCCGCCAGCCTTACTGCTGGGTGCGGCTACGATTGGCCGGAAATGTTATCAGACCGGTCAAGGTTTCGGGCGCTGTCGCTGGGCTGCTGAGGGCGGCCGCGACTGGCCTTGGCAAAGGTCGTGCGTGGGAAGGCGAAGATCAATCATGACAGCATGCCCGCCCCGAACGTAGCCTCGCCACACCCTGTCGTCATCTTTCTTTCGTTGTTTGCTGTCCCCTTTTTACAAAACATGCGGCCTTGTACTTGCTCCCCTTCGGGCACAATAACGAAGGTCCTGGCACCACTAGATAAGTAGCATGGCATATTAGTTAAAACAGTTAAAACAATCCCAACTTTACTTTTTTCCTTTTCTCTTCTTGTTTTCTTCCCTGTTCTTTCTCCTGTTCTTTTTCTTATTCGTCCTCCCTATACAAACTTGCATTCCCTCAACAAGATAATTTGTTCTGGCGCTACCACAGCCCGCGATGCCTGGCCAGTTTCGCATACTTTGTGGCTGACATGGACGGTTTAATATACGTGGCTGCACGAAGAGCGCAACATCCATCGTGGGCTGGAGCCATAAGTATTTCATGGATGGGTTCAAAAGAGATAAATCTATCAACATGTTGGACTCCGCATCGCCTCTTCGAGACTGCGCTTGCTCCAATGCGCATGCGGATGTCTCTGCCCATCAATGACGTTTCCTTCACCACTCGTCAAGCTATTGGGTCCCCAGAAACGGCCTTCAACAACACCGAATTCTTCCCGTTATGGTATGACCCCATCCCGAGAGGATAATGCGCCCCAAATAGGTGCCCCTTCCCTTCCTTGCTATAGAACACCGAGTCCTTGTCGTAGCCCGGCTGGTGCCCCACGACCCCCAGTCGGGCCACAAAGTCGGCCGTGTGGGCAAAGTGCTCCGTCACCCAGGCGTACTCGCTCAGAGACCGCCCCGTCCCGCCGTCGACGGCGACGCGCCAGTCGACACACGGGTTCCCGAACGTGAACACCCTCAGCCTCTGCCTCATGTCAGCCCTCCTGGTGTAGCCGCACTCCAGCACCAGCGTCTGCAGTACTAGCCGTAGCAGGAGGCAGCCCTGGGAGTGCGCGATCATGACTACCTTGGCCGGAGGGTCGTCGGCAGGCGGCCACAGCGCGCGCTCGAGCTCGGCCTTGAGCTCCTTCTGCGCACTTGTGCTGCTCTTTGTCCGCTGGATAAGCTCATTGTGGCACCTGCCGGCGGCCGCCGCGCTGCGCTCGCCGGCGCATTCGATCAGGTCCCAGAGGAAGCCGTCGCTCCTGTTGTAGACGCCCCTGACGTCTCTTTGAAAGGTGTCGCGGATCTTGTCGCACGACCCCTGGAACCAGACGCGCTCGTTGGCGATGCCGTTGACGAACAGCCACCTCTCGTCGCTCGTCGTCGCAGAGCCGCCTCCGCCGCCGCCCATCTCGGCCAGGCGAGAATCGTAGGTCGGCGACGGGGGCATGCCGTCCTCCTCAAAGTCGCTGCCCAGGCGGGTGTTCATGCGCAGGCCAGGCAGCTCCTTCGGCGTCGGGTGGGCCCGGCCGGCTTCCAGGATGGCGACGAGCGACAGCGCGACCCGCAGCAGCTGGTAGACGACTGCGCGTCGGTTCTTGTCCTGCCCGAGGTCGAGCTCGTCGTATGGGTTGTATGCTCCCGGGAATAATGACCCATCCATCGTCTCCTCCTCGATCACGCCGCCATCGCCGGCGGCTAGGAATCCAGGGATGACAGTTCCCGGCCTGACCAAGTCGTACAAGAACCTGAGCAGCTCGGGCAGCTTGTGCAGGATGAAGTGGAGCGTGTCCTTGTTTGTGCAGTTTGAGTATATAGCTGTTACGATCACCGCCGCACCGACCAGGCTCTCTCCCACGGCATCCAGGGAGCGGCGCGCGACCTTGACGGTCACCGCCGCACCGCCCAGACTCGCCCTCACAGCATCCAGGGGGCGGTGCGCGACCTTGACGATCACGTCGACGCCCGCCCAGTCCGCGGCCGCGGCGAACACCCCCACTGCATACCCGAGCAAGAGGCTTGACGCGCGAGCCGTGGTGGCCCGGGCGCCGTCTCGAAACTTGCGCAGCGTGCCGTTGGGGTCCAGGACGACCCTGTCCGCGGTCGAGAGGCCGCGGTCGATGATCTTGGGCGCGCGGAAAATGCTGGTGGCGCCCCGGGCTAGATTCCGGATCGGGTTGAACATGGTGCTCGGAGGCGGCTCGGTGCAGCTGGGTACAAGGTATGCCCGGGATAGCGGACGAGGATGGTTCTGGAGACTGGAGATGCAAGATTGCAGGCCTGGACGATACAGGATAGAGATTTATTTATCCCTCCCGGCCCTGTCTATCAAAGGGAGGCTGTGGGCGCTAGTGACGCACAGGGTGAGTCGATCGGCGTAGCTCTTGGCACTTACACGTGCTCAATCTGAAATCCAACCTCCCTACTTTGCCTGTCCCGTCGCCTTCGATATTTTCTTCTCCCTTGCTTGCATTATTTTTTTCACATGCTTGCTACACAAACCGGGCGTTAATTACCCAGCTCAGCCACCTTGCTGGTCAGGCTACCAATTACCCACCCGCGAAGCTATGTGCGCATCCGCCCGACTACTGCCCTTTGCCCTCCCACACCCATCGTCGGAATATAGCCCAGCATGTTGCATTATAGGGCCTATCCAGTCTCGGAGGCCCGGAGCGGGTGGAATAACACAGCACATTCGATACAAAAAACACAGCAACCGCCGAAATTGTTAAAACTGTTAACGTCGCGTCGCGTCTTGCGGATATTTCCACCACAAAAAAGCAACGCGCTACTACCCGGATAATCGTATAATAAACTGCCGAGTTTATTTGTTATGCCCAGGTAATAAGCAAGGCTAGCCTGGTAAGCACAACCTAGCTAGTATAATAAATATAACCTGTTGGACAAAGTAGGTATCGGGTAAAATACGAGTACATTAACGCCCTTCCTATAGCCAAAGCCATCGGTAAAGGCTAGCTATATAAGGAAATCTAATATACAATGCGTATATCGCCAAGCCTCCGTCCCCGTTATTATGTCCTTTAAGGTGGCGGCTGAACAGCATCGCTGCCCTTGAGGGACCCGTCGCGTGCCCGCTATTTGCAGACAGAAAGGTGTATATGGCGACGCGTCCGTCGGTCAGCGTTCACACACTGAATCTGGATTTGAGCAGGCGTGATTTTAGTATGCCCGCCCGCGGGGACGCGAGCCGAGGCCGGGCCTGCGTTTTGCGTTGTAAAAAAAATAAAAATAAATAAAAAAGAAACAGCAAAGAAAA